ACAGTGAGTAACAGGTTAAGTATTTTATTTTAGATACAAAAGCTTCCCCTATTTGCAACTTCACTTTACTAGGAGACTATAGTTTGACCCAATTAGATTAGAAACTCCTTAAGAAAAGGTACGTTAATTGTCTCGTCCATGAGGCTATGATACAAAATTTAAAATAACTATCTTATACTATTAAGGGAAAGAAACAAAGTATAGAGTACTAGGAAAATTACACCCCATCTATGTAAAAGGAGAAGGAGGAGCCTATCTTGACATTTGCTTATTTGCTTTTTAAAACAAAGAGACTCTGGAAGGTTGCATAAGAAAATAATAACTGTGACGATCCAGTGGGAACTTGGCAGATGTGGGAGAGGGCCAAAGACGCAAACATTTCACTATATACCTTTACACATTTTTAAACTCTAGAATTATGTGAATATAATACTGTCTGCTCAGAAGTTTCAAAATGTTAGTATTTTAATGCTGAAAGAAAGTACAATGGAGATGGTAAGGTATGCACACACTCTGGATATATTTTGGAGGTAAAAGCAATAGGACCTGGTATTACATTGGATGTGGTTGTCAGAAAGGAAATGTGCAGAACTAATGCTAGGTTTCTGGCCTATGCAAATTATTAGGTGGAGCTGCTGGTCCCTAGAACAGGGAAACCAGGGGGAAGAACAGAGTTGAATACTTTATGTTTGAGATGTCTGTGATACACCTATGTGCTTCTGAATCTAATTTGACTACAGAAGCCTAGAGAGAAGAAGAGAGTAAGGACCAGAACTACACATTTGGGAATCCCTGGCATTTTGATGTTTATAGCCAGGGGAACAGACAAGTTCCCATGGGTGGGACAGGAGACAGTGAGAGGAGGAGAAAGGAGGACAAGGTAAGGAAGAAAGCTGAGCTGCTACGGCTCCGTCTCGAGACCTCCAACACCAAAAGGCTACATAGGGAATGAAAAGCTAGCAAAGGAAACTTAGAAGCAGAAGTCAGCAAACCAGGAAGGAAATAAAAATAAAGGTTCCACTTCAGGAAAAAAAAAAGACCAGACTGTACAAAAGTCTAGAAATAAAGTACACCTCAGTGCGTTGTAAAAGCTGTAAATAGTCAGGAGAAATATAATCAAATATACATTTTAAAAATAATCTATGGAGCCCTGGCTGGTGTAGCTCAGTGGACTGAGCGCGGGCCTGTGAACCAGACAATCGCGGTTCGATTCCCAGTCAGGACACATGCCTGGGTCGCAGACCAGTTCCCTGCAGGCCAATTCCCAGCAGGGGACGCATGAAAGGCAACCATACATTGAAAAAAAAAAATCTATGGCTAGTGCAGAGTGGAAGTAGAGAAGGACAAGACCAGAGGCATGAAGATGCTTAGCTTCCTCAATAAACAAAAACCCTTTTCATGAAGACTTTGATCGTCAGACTGCCTTTCATAAAAGTGAATTTATAAAAAGGCAAGATGACAGACTACTACATGATGACAGACTACTATATCTTGCCAAAGATTCCAAATTGTTGTTAATGAAATTAATTCATCCATAAGAAGCAGAGAAACACCTCTCAGAGTCTGTTCCATAGTTAACACTCCCCTGTTCCGTGTGTGCCTGCGAACATGTGTGTGTACACACCCATGCACAGACAGCTGTGTTTCCCAGAAACCCTGCTCTCACAGAAAGAACCTGCTTCTGTCCGCTTTTGCCTACTCAAACCGAAGGTTCCCCGAGGCAGAGATGCCCTAGCAAATGCAGGTCTGAAGCTTCTGAAAATAATGGTGACCAAGTCATCAGCAGCATGTGAGTTGCAGCGGAAGCTGTGGCCACAGGCAAGAATCTAAGTAGTGCTGAAAGACAGAGATGGCCCCAGAACAGAACCCTGGGTGATGTCAACTTTTAAGGTGCAAGTAGAGGAGGTACCCATGGAAGAAACATGCAACTACTTTTGTTTGATAATTTATAAATACAGGGTCCAGCACAAATAACGCCCGTTTTTTTATTTAAAAATCTTTTATTAAAAATCATCAGCATGTAATTCTGTAACATAACACTATCACACTCAAGCATGCCACATGACATTTTAGGTGAAATGTTCAAATTGCTGTCCATCTTGTGCAAGACATTCACACATCTACCAACCACATGCAAGAAGCCTTACTTCTGCCAGACCCTGGACAGAGCAAGTCACTGCATCTGGAATACTTGTAAGATGACCAAATGTGCCTTGGAAATTAATATTTGCCTAAAGCATCATTTCAGAGACTCATCCCAGACTTTTCAAAGTTTCTTCCCTTTCCAGTCAAGACTTACAGCAGAATTTGTATTTTCAGGCTTTTAACAAACTAATAAAATACATATTGTGTGTATATATAAAGGTTTGACAAGACCATATCGACTCAAAGAAGCAGAAAGAATTCTAAGATGGAACCTCAAAAATATGAATTCAGTATATTTAATTTTAAAAGTCCTTAGGACTAATGGCTTTGCCAGTGTGACAGTTATTTATGAGAAGAAGATAGAGATGCCCTGGCCTTGGTGGCTCAGTTTGTTGGAGCATCGTCTGAACACCAAAAGGCTGCAGGTTTGATTCCCAGTGAGGGTGCATACCGAGATTATGGGTTCGATCCCTGGTCAAGGCGAGTATAGGACACAACCAATTGATACTTTTCTCTCACATCAATGTTTCACTTTCTCCTTCCCTTCCTCTCTCTCTAAGATCAATCAACATATTCTCAGGTCCCTTTATAAAAAAAACAGCAGCAACAGCAGCAGCCAGAGGACTACACTGGAGAATCTTCTTACCTTCTTGCCTAAAATTAACAGAACTGATCAAAAGTGTTCATCACAACACATAAGAAAATATAACCTATTTAAAAAAACTTGTGCGGCTTCAGTAAAGTAAAATCCCGTCAACAATCTAAGTGAATTCTCTACTCAGTCAATAAGCGCAGGGCAAAAGCCATTTACACCTTCTAAAAGTCACCAGTAAATCCTGCACCGAGGAGGTCACCGTGCAGGATAAAAGGTGGTGGAGGTGAAGAAATCCTCGGAACTTGAAACATTTGGTGCTGGATTTACAAATGGGATCGCCTGGGAGCTAAAATAGGCTAAAAATATAAAGACGTTGTAGGAGAATTCGTAGATGACTGACAAGCACTGGGACCCTGGAGAACGGTGCAAGAGCTGCTTTCCACTGCTAAACTCCCGTCACCAGTTATGCATTCTGTACCGTCACCACAGAACACCTGCCCGGAGCAAGCACTGGGCTGCTGCTGTCAGAGACAGAACCGCAGCCGGCACAAATCAAACCACTGATGTGATCTGCAGGGCAGCTATTTAGTTTGTTGGAATAAAAAGACACTAAATATATAACTGACCCACTGACTAATCAGCTGAGAATTTTCTCAACTTCTTTCTTTAGAAGAGGTTGCAAGTGTCATTAAGATTTAACTGGTATTCTTTTGAAGTTGATTTTAAAGGATTAAGAAGACAAAAGTTTTAAAACTATGACCTAAAATAAAAGGGGCAAAGGAAAAAGTTTTGTGCTTGTTTTCAGCTTTGTAAGTGTGAGGCCAGTTTAAAGTTCATACTTGAAAGCATCGTTGTTCAATGCACAGCATGTCTTCTCTCACCTTTCTGGGAAAGGCAGGATCCAAGGGCTATCAGGGTGTCCAACCTTTTGGCACCTCTACACCACACATTAACACATTGTAACAGGTAATCATTAAGACAATCTCATAAAGTTTTAGGTAAACTGACGATTTTGCGCTGGGCCACATTCACAGCCATCGTGGGCTGCGTGAGCCCGAGTGCTTCGGGTTGGACATCCCCAGCATAATTCAGTCTTTCAAGAGCATACAACACGGTCTGCTGAATTTATCTCAAATTAATCTGGGTTAGAGAAAACAAATTTAACAATAGGAATAAAAATCTTTATTTACATGAAAACGTCTGCTAATGCATCTGTTTCTGATGACTATTTTAACCAAGTAAATAAAAGACTAAGAACTGCTGTGGATGCTTAGGTGGCTGTCTTTCCATCCTCCAGCACACAACGCCCTGGGGCTGCGGTCCCCACACTGTCTGCGGAAAGCCAACTTGTCTGCTCGTGCTCCATGAGGTGTCCTTATTTCATCTGAATACTGAACCAAAGCAGACACTTCCGTTTTCAGGATTTCATCTTTACCTAGTCAGCTTCCCCTGTTTGAAGGTCTTTATGGTCAAGGAGAAAAATCGAAATGACCCACTAAAACCAGAAGTGATCTGGTCGTCATCATCATCAAAATAATTTCTTAAAGCCTATGACTAACATTAATAACAATACCTATCCTTTTTTGAAGATGACTATTTACTAAGCACAGCATAAAATGCAGCCAACAGTAAGGCTATTGTTCAGTTTAAAAGAGAAATGCACTAAGGCCCCTAGCATAGTGCTTGGTATGTAATAAAGTCATTCCTAATTTAGTCTTTCTACTGTCCTAAATGTCTCACACCTGACCTCTCCTCTAGATTCCTACTGACAGTGATTTAGCTCAGGTCCTCAGAACCTCTCTGTAAACTTGGTAACTTGTCTCCCACCACCACTTTGTCCCTTCCTACACACAAGCCCAGCTCTGACCCCGCCACTCCCATGCTCAGAATCACTGAATCAGCGTCCTCTGCTGCCAGCTCCTCAGCCTAGCCTTCCCCGCCCTCTACAGAAGGCAGCACCCCTCCCCCCAGCCCCTGCCCCACCGTATACTATGGATGACCTAAACTAACTGGGTAACTCCCTTTCCCCAACACACCCCACGTCTTCCAATCTACAAGCTTCCCCACTCTTGGGAACAAGGGGGAAATCCTCACAATACCAGATGCAATACTGCCAGATAAAAATAAAATATTCCCCAATTTAAAACCGTATTATTTTAAATCACGGTAACCTTGGTTTCAAGGAGGCCAATATGCTTTTAATTTCACACCTTCATATCATTTCAAATTAAACACACACACACACACAAATTCCCTTTACCTTAATTTAAGGAGTGGCTGAGTCACCCATTTCTTTAACTTCCGTCTCCCAAATGAAGTTTTAGTATGGTCTAACACCCAAAATAAACTTCCTTTGGTTTTCATATCAGTCTAAGAAAGACCAGAAAACAAGTGTGAGTAACTAAACAATTGCATTTGTATCAAAATTGGTAGTCAATCATGTGCCCCGATTATTCCATGTACCATAATTTTCAATATTATTTATATATGCCTAGCATAAAGTATGGCTCATAACAGGTGTTCATTTAATGTCTGATAAATGAATATGTGTGTGTATATTTATATAACACAACACACACACACAGACACATGAGGTCTGTATGGAAAAATCCAACCATTGTTAACAGAATGAGAACAGTTTGTGCTACATCGATATAATCTGTCAGCCAAGGAGACTGGACTGGAATGTGCATGTGAACTGGACTGGACATGTGAACAATGATGACTTCACTGTACTAGTCAGTGGAGATGGCAGATGCCACTGAGTGAGCATGAGTACTGTGTGGCCATCACATTCAAAATGACTGAGCAAAAAGAGCAACAAATTTGCATCAAATTTTGCATTAAGCTTGAACATTCCTCCACAGAAACTATTCAGATGATTCATAAGGCCGCAGCTATGGGCCACTGGTGATTGGTAGCTTTATCACCAAAATGCACCTGCTCATGTATCATGTCTCGTGCAGAGTTTTTCAGTCAAATGTCAAATTACCACAGTGACTCAGCCCTACTACAGCCCAGATTTGGCACCCTGCAACTTCTGGCTTTTCCCAAAACTAAAATCACCTCCAAAAAAGAAGAGATTCCAGACAGTACATGAGATTCAGGAAAAGAGGATGGGGCAGCTGACAGCAATTAGGAGAACTGTGTGAGGTCTCAAGGTGACTACTTTGAAGAGGACAGAGACATCAATGTCCTATGTACAATGTTTCTTGTATCTTCTTCAATAAATGTCTCTATTTTTCACATTACATGGCTGGATACCTTCTGGACAGACCTCACATATACAGACACACACACAAAAAATATAGAAAGTACTAATATTTTGCACAGAAAGAGACAGTCTATGTGTCATTTTAGGTTAATTAAGAATAAATTATTCAGAACTCTCTTTTGAAATATACATTTGTCCTTAGCATCTTAAAAATACAGGCTTTTGTGCCTTGGGAAATACAGTGAAGATCATTTAATTTCCCTTTGGCCATTCCGTGTCTCCCACTGCCTCAGAATCGCTGACCTAAAGACAGTGCTCTCAGGACAACTCTGACCGAGCAGAAGGCACTGGAGACAGACGGCATCTCGCACTGCCCACAGGGAACTTACCCTGGGAGGGGCTTATTTTAGTCTACCTTATTAAATTCTTAGCAAAAGTTTATGTATCTATACTTTGCTATTTGAAAGTTGAGTCATAAAAAAATTTACAATTAACTAGAAATGATGGTTTATTTTAACCAAGGTTTCACTGTATTACAAAAAGTCTATGAATAGATTAAATCTTATTTGGAACATAAAATTGCAGTTTTCACCTGAGCAGTTTTTTAAAAACTTTTTCCCTTTCTTTCAAATCATCAAGCAGGTACTTACAGAATACCTCCTCATGTACTCCACTGTATGACTGGCAAAGGTATATTAAGACATGTTGCCTCCCTGAGGGCACTTATATCCAAGTTCGGGAGAAGAGCCCCATAATTAGGACACAATGCCACCTGGCAGAAATAAACTACAAAAGGTGTGACATAAGCTCCCCGGGCCTTAGGAGTTTCAAGCAGAGCACACACAGCAACTACAGTGACGGAGGCTCCCGAGGATGGAGCTGGACAGGCAGAGCCAACTGACAAGGGTCCAGATCAGCGACAGCACCAGCCTTTCTGAGACAAGAGCCGACTGGCCTGCCTGCAGTGAAGTTTTCCAGAAAGAGGACAGTGGAGGGAAATCGTGTTCTGATTATCTGGCATCACTGCAGAAGCAGGTTTAGGAAAGAGGGAGTGAGGAAGGGGGGAGGGAAGGAGAGAGAAGGGGAGAGAAAGGGATAGATATAAGGAGGGAGAGGGGGAGGGAAAGAGATAGAGACAGAGAGAGAGAGAGATGAGGGAGACACAAGTCCTATCACACCTCCGCTCTCCCTGACACCTCATTACCCCTGTTCACTGCTTATCTGTAAGAGAGGCCAAAGCTGACGTGCAACGACACACAGATGTTCATTCTTAGCATCTGTTTCTACAAGGGTCCAAGTCTTGATAAGTAAAGGATTTTTAAAGGGTATTTTACAGATGACTTTTGCCTTAGGAGTGTGATTTCAGAACTGACCGCACACAGTAGAAGGATGTGAACAAGGGAGACGTGGCGGAGTAAGGAAAGCTTGGAATGCTGGGGCGGTCTGCGGGCTCTGACTGTGAGCTCTTCATCCAAGCAATGTCCCTTGACTCCTGCTACTTGTTTCCTATCGTGGAGGTGTACACAGAATTGATGAGAAAGACTTATGGGAAAGATTCTCACTCCTGGATAATGTTACTGAATAAAAGTAAGGTAGACTCTAGTGTACAAGAATAGCTTGGAAGAGGGAGAAACTAAATAAGAGAAACTAATTAGTAATACACAAATCCAGGAGTCAGGAGAACAATTTCAGCATTTAATATAATTCACAACAGTACTAAATATTTCTGAAGAGCTTTAAACCATTTGACTCAGATGGTTCATTTTCACCACTACTTACTCAAACGGCTTGAAACTGCTTTTTATTTCTATGACTTTGTTATGACAACATTGATTTTATAATATATCACACATTTCCAAGTGACAATTTAATAAGTGAAAGCAATAATTTCAATGACTCCATTATCTTTCTAATTCATCAATAAAGGGCAAATAAATAATAATGGAAGTTTGTAAAGGGAAATAATATGCATTTTACAGTCTAATTGAATATCACAGTCACTTGCTTTATATGCTGCATAGTGAAATAAGACTGCAGACATTTCAAGGAAAAAAGGGATGTAGAAAAATATTGCCAAGCAGACCAAAAAGTCCACTTCTTATTAATTTTCAAAGATGATGCTCTTCCAAAGAAATTTTCAACACAGAAATTACCTGGACGAGCACGTTACTGCGATCATTAAGGACAGCTCCACGGCTCCGCAGGGAACCCGAGGAAGCATTTCCTAGACTGTATCTGAAGCTCCAAAAAGCAGGTGCTACAATGACCAACTAATAAGCAGACAACAGGCAGAGTGGTCAGCTGGTGTTTTCACCCTAAGAAGGTGGAGTTTGTACTCTTAAGGAGAAAGTGCTACCTTATTCCAAACTTGTTTTCAAAACCATTTTGAATCAACTAGCTCTTATGTTTACCTGACCTGATTCTGTAGGATTTCAAGATTCCTTAATGTTGTTCCATTAATTGTCATAAACTCCATTTCACCTGACAATGGTTTAAAATTCCTGTAAAAGAACAAAATGTGAGCCATGAAGTAGGTGCACAAAGAACTTTTAAAAACTAACTTAGGCACCAGAAATATTCCAGTAACACTGTGACAATGGTTAGCTCTTAGAGAGAGACTCAACTCAAAAGGAGCAAAAGGAACATTCATCGGGACATTGTCTTCCATTGATGCTGGTGTCATTACACAGACTGATGGCAAAACAAGGACAGATGCTCTCAAACCAAACACAAGAACAAGGAAGGAAAGTGTTACCAACAATTTTTTAATCCATATTTCCAGAAACAGCACCAAACACAGTCTTTTATCACTGGCTGAGCATGTGGTGGTGTGGTCTCTTCAGGAAACAACTATGCAATTGGTTAGAAAAAAATGTCAAGATACTTAAAAACATCCTTCTTATTCTTTAGCATGAGATCACCTTGATAAACCCTTTAACATATTTCAATCAACATTCTGACATGTGGAACAAATGTTATTTACTCTATAATTAACAGTGCATATTAATGAAGCTAATGTTTTAGTAGAGTAAAATGGAAAAAGCAGCAGAATTTATTTCCTTAAGCTCAAAGAACTCACATTCTCCTTAAGTCCCCATAACTATCTCAAAGTAGACTGAAAGTGCAGTAAATTTCAAATAGACTTGAGCACTGAGTTGCAATATGATTAATAAATACATGCACAATGCCATGTTTGTCCTTATTAGTCTTCCACGTTAAAAGTACATTAATCAATGCATTACTGATACAGGAATTCAATTTCCTTTATAAGCTAGTCAGTCCTTTGTTCTATCAACAGCACTTACAAACTTGACGGCTTAAAGGCAAGAAATACAACAGAACAGCAAGGTCACAAAACTATTTGGAGGGAAGCATGAGTGTCTCCATTATGAACCTAACCACATTTTATCATGGCTCTAGTAAGATTTAAATAAAACCCAGTTTCTCAAACCAGTGATGGAATCTAGAGCCAAACCTCAAAGTCAGAGCCTCCACTTCTAGATGGCTCCCCAGCTGAAGCTTCAGAGCCCTGAAAAACAAATACCTCACCAGGCATTAGGAAGGCTGCCCAGTAACTGAATGCTGCCCTCTGGCGGTGTAATTCATCCGCTGATTGGACCTGGCTTCCAAAGGATGACGACTTGTTAGTGATTTTCAGAGGGAAGCAACTCCAACACTGATGGATACCAACTGTATGTGGCCCTTTCTTTCCTGCTTACAGAAGTTAACTTAATTTGCCTTGTATTATAGCAATTTATGTTCTTGGGCTGCCCTCATTAATAAATCTTAGCTCTGGAGGCAAGGGTTATTAATGTCATACATTTTTTAGCACCTGCAGGACCTAGCAGAAAGTACATGCTCAACAAATGTCTGTCATCTTCCTATAGGGAGCCTACTGTGGGCTTTTTTTTTCCCTTAGAAATATCTGTAAACACCCAAGGTTGGTACTAAAACATGAAACATTATATAAACATTATATTCAGGAAGAAACAATGAGGCAGTGATTGGCTATGAAGCTGACAGGTGTTCACACAGCCTCATGGTCAAAAATCCAAGCTGGAAGAGCTGAGAGTATAGACTCAGAGTTGGTATCTACCAGTTCTCATGTGTTTTATAAGACATTGACTTGCCCTGTTTCTGAAAGTTGGGTTCAACCTGCACAAGTAACACTTGAATACCTTAATCAGACAGGGACAATGGAGGGATGCTTAGCTGGCATGAAAAAGACTAATCGAGAAGTCTTAATCCAGCAGCCTTTCTTAAAAACATCTTGGCAAGCTGCCCTTATCACCCCTGAACATCAGAGATGTAAAATAAAGTGTCATTTAAGATGTGTGCACTGTCCAGAAATACTCCTCAGGTGTCTCCACCCTCACAGGAACGTGTAAACCCAACAACAGCCCATACCCTGCAGAGTGGTGTTTTAGGTTTAGGACCCTGTTCTACCAGTTATCTGAGGGTTTTGTCACCGAACACCCACTAAAAGTGAAATCTGGCTCCTAGGCCTCGAATGAACCTTTGAAGTATGGCACTGTGAGAAGATCGAGAAGACCCAGAATTAGAGTGTCAAGATGCTTATAGAAGAGTTTTACGTGGCTTCTTTTGTGCCTGCTCACTAAAAGGTGTCTGTGCTGGAGAATTTCGTGTGGACTAACATACAACCGGGTAGAGGGCGGGCTAGGAAGGAGGCTTAGAGCTCTTACCGACATAGAACTGCTGGGATTCCCAATACCTACAATATCAGAAAGCACCCAGTAAATGTGAACAACCAAACTGGCTTAAATTAGCTCTTTTTACTGAGCTCCACAAATGTGCGTAGACAGTGCCCCACACCGATAACAAGACACTGTATCAGCAAAACCATCACGGCTCACTTCACGATGACACTCGCTCTGCCGCGGTTCTCTGGAACCAAACCACAGTACGTGCGAGGTCCACCTGGACAGGTTCTTTTCCCATTTAGCAGTGTCAATGAGATGTGCATATGATTTATTGGTTTGTTTTACTTTGTTTTTTGCCATTACTGAACAAGTCATCAAAACTCAAAGTAGATGCAGGGAGAAGCAAAGAATTTCTTTAAACTGACATCTGCATTGATTTTAATGAAAGATCAACCATTGGGCAATATTAAATTATACTGATCCTTTTGGAACAATAGTTACCAAGCAATTATAAGAACCAATTTTGCTGTTGGGTTTCCTAAATGTTTAGCTGATAGTATGTTCTAAAGTTAGGACTCTTCCATCCAAACAGAAGAAAAATTTCCTTCTACCACTCCTATGTCCACTGGAAATTGTATACGTTTTTGAACTTAGGGTTGAATCGGCCAGCATGCTTAGGTATTCAATGGTATATGGCCACTGATCTAAATTATTTACCCTTCTGGAGGAAGCAAAATTCATGTGCTTTAAAATGAACCACATAGACAATGCCTGGCTGGAAGTCATGCTGTGTGAACCTCAATAGAAATATTGTAAGTAACATGGGAAAACATTTTATTAATATTTAAGGCAACAAAGATACAAAGGATGCTTTTGTTCCAAGTTTTAAAATGGGGGGAAATATACTTGCTACTAACTTCCCGGAGAAATTTATAACACTGTATCATTCCTAAACTACTTTAAAAAAAGAAAGAAAAACCATCTTTCTGAACTAGACAGAGACAGTAAGGGTACAGGCCTTATCTAAAAGACCAACCCCTTTCAAAGACCCTATTTAAATTATTTTAAAATGGAAACAAAGACAAAAAAACCTATCATGTTGCACATGAAATCAACAGTGGAAAATAGCTCTCTATGCACAGTTTTCAGAGGTCATATATTTACCATTTGCCTAATCTTTGGGTGGTTAATTTAATTATTAATTTAATTGGGCACAAATATTATAAATGTTAATTATAAATTATTTTATAATATAAAATTCCAGCTTTATTATAGATTCACTTTTACTTGAGTTATAATTAAACAAAATGGGTATCTTTGCATTCCTAAATGTTTCCAATAAGCGTAATCCAGAGGAAAATAAAAAGAAAGATGTTTAACGGGTTCCAAAAAGCTGCCAGGTTCGGTGATTCCCTAAGACACACAGGACTCGGCACACGTTCACGCAGCTCCGAGTTACTACGGTGAGAGGATACGAGGCAGACCCTGTCCTGGGTAATGAAACCTCACGTAATCCATTTTTAAGGACAATTCCTGAAATGGTATATTTTCCTGCAACAACCTTTATAGGAGAAAAATAAGCACAAACACCTTAAAAATGTGTATCAAGATTTCTATGAAATATGCAGCAACTTTTGTGAAATCATTTGCAAAACACCACAACCAATTTTCTCCCAATCACACAGCTCCTGAATAAAATATAATCATACCTTATGTTGCTGAACTTTTAAAGTAATACAACCAAATTTTAAATACAGAAGGAGACCATTCATGTTTTCCAAAGCAATCACTTTGAAGAGGCTACATTCTTCTTCCAAGATATGAGAACTGTGGAACTGCTCTTTAGGAATGACATTCAGGGTCAAATCACATGCTACCCATAAAACATCATCCCTCACATTTCACTTTTAAGTCCACAATAAATAAATAAATAAATTACCACTTTGATCACAACCTTCATTCATTAATCTTGGCTCCCAAGGACATTTTTACAATTTCTAATCAAATTCATACTCACAGGATGAGTTCCTTCCTGCTTTTCTTTCATTAATCCTACATTTACTGACTGTCTACTAGATGTTGGGATGTGCTGGGTGATGTACAAGGTGAGGCCTAAAACCTGGGCCTCTTTGTACTGTGCTGTCTGGCTCCGTGGAAATGAGAGGAGGGGGTTACCCAGCAGGCAGGTGCGACACATACTAAGTCACCAGCAGGTCCCGTTCCCTGATCATCCCCAACAGTACCACCAAACAGAAGTTCCACTGCACTCAATTTATCAAGTTGGGTGATTTTAAAATAAGCTATTTTAATTTCACTACAAATAAGCATTTTATATTTTAGTGTTTAGCATTACTTTTCCTTTGAATTACACATGAAGAGAACATAATAATGCTTTTAGATCCAAATTCATTTACTTCTAAACACATGAGAACCTGATTTTAGAAAAAGTCAGTTTTCTTATTTCAATATGAATACTTCATTCCTGGGTGATGTAGGGATAGAAATGAATCTTTTTCCCTGCAAAACCAAATCTCTTTTTTTGCTTTTATTTTCTTTTAATTTTTTAAAATTACAGTTCATATTCAATATTACTTTTTATTAGTTTCAGGTGTACAGCATAGCGCTTAGATAATCATATACTTCACAAAGTGCCCCCTGTGATCTTTTCAGTGCCCAGCTGGTGACGGGAGAGCTATTAGTCACCAGCTCTACCTCACTCAGAGGCAGGACTATCACGCACAAGTTAAATGGTGGGTAGCTGGTCATCCTTCCCTTATGGGGATCAAACACAATCGACCTCCATGTTTTCTATAGAGGCATCTCCTCAATGTTTTCTATTATTGGGATGTTAAAGTAGAATCTATGAGGTATAATGCCAGGCTGCTACCTTTTTTAATAAAACATTTCAGCCATACTAAATCAGATGTAGATTAATGTAGTAACGAGATTAAAAGATAAACATCAAGCAGAACTTCCCTGCGTCATCTGCCCCACCCACCTTCATGGTTTCTCCTCCACCCCATCTTCTGAATTTGTTGTTGCTTATTCCCATGCATGTCTTTATACCTTCTCAATATATGAATGCTTTCATGTGTTCATACTGCCTCATGTGTTGCTACCGTCACATAATGATCTGTGTTCTGTGTCCTTGTGCAATTTGATTTTTGGATCAACATAATACTAATGAAATTTTTTAATATTGACAAATGTAACTCTAGTCCATTCATTTTCATTGCTGTATAACATGAGCGTAATACAACGAACCCACTCTCCTGGAGATGGACATGTAGGCTGCTTTTAACCGGGACAAAACTACTTCCAGAGAAGTGATATTCTGTTTTATCTTTAATACCACATACTAGTACATCCAAAAAAAAGACATCACAAAGATTCCCAGTGGGCCTCCCTCTCACTCTCTCCGACAACCTCCACCCAGCACCACCTCTTCGTCCTGCAGTTCACGCTCTGCCATTTTACTGAGACAGCCCCAATCTGTCCACCCGCCTGTGCAGGGCAGGAAGCAGTTCACTTATCCAGGTCAGTATGAGGGAGCTCATTCTATACAGAGCCAAAGACCAGGGGTTGGTGAAGGTGGAATATATAGCAAGGAAGAAAATGATCTCCCTACCTGTTTTTATTCCACTGTTCTTTAAACTACTATTTTCCTAGAATGTCGCTTACTAGCTTTTATCCTCTGAAGTCTATCAAGTTAATCACTCTTTTGAAAAGCTGTCCATGTTAGAAGCTGTCCACTTTGCCTCCAACTTTACGGACTAGGAAATAAGAACTCAAACCAAGAATAAGAAAGGCAGTGAAATTTTATGAATTTTATTAATTTCGTAAGTGAAATTAATACCACTTCTTAATTCTACTTCTGTTACTACTTGCCAATTAACTGTGCTTTAGAATAAATTGTCATTTTGTAGTCAAAATTATACTATATTAAATAGCTGTCATAAATACAACAGGACAGAATTTTAAGGGTTCTAACAATATTTTATATTAATATTTTTAATATTATACAGCAACAATACCACATAGTTCGTACAATACTTGCTCTCAAATAGAGTCTTCTATCAATAGCAAGTAACCTCCTCTGATTGTAGTACTTAACCAAATCCAGGAGATGTTGATAATATAAATAAGCCTGCCCCTTTTTAATATTTGAGGAATCACTTACTTGGGTTTGGAAAGCACCTTTTCCAAGTTAAATTCTTTGAGGTATTTTATTACGGCAGCCAAAGAGCAAATCACAGGCATTGCCAAGCTAATGATGCCAGAAAAACTTTGAGAACCTAAAAAAACAATATATACCCTCATTAGAATTACTACTCATCATTACTAAAAACAAAGGTTATTAAAATAACAGTTTAGACAGTATCTCCTAACACTGCCCTCTGGAAAACTGCAGATGACTATAACACCTGGGGCGTGGGGAGAAGGACCTTGTCCGGTGGTGGAACAACCCTTTGTATAAAGCAATGGAGCAACTTTTTCCAAATGTAAAAGGCTCATCTCCTTTGACCCAGTCATACTCCAAAATGCATGTCAAAAATGTGTAAGTAAGGAAGTGGGCTGAAAAATCTTGCGTAATACTAAAAAACTGGAGAAAACCTAACTGAAGGTCAATAGAATAAGTTAAGTGAATTGTGTCAAGTCCAGGTCATTATTCACCTACTAGAAAGAATGACTTTTCGCTATCTGTACTGATTTGAAAACTGTCCATAATGTATTGCAGAGTAAGGGAAAAGAAAGTCGTACCATTCTCAACTCTCACCAGGGGTATGGCAACAGCTTTCCATTGGGTCTCTCAGCCTCATCCCTGTGCACTACAGGGTATTTTTAACAGAATGGCCCAAGGAATCCTTTTTAAAATGTACATCAAATCATTAGACTATCCTGCTTAAAAATCCTCCAACATTCTCCGACTCACTGAGGGAAAAAGCACAAGTTGTTGCGTCTATAAGGCCCCACACGACTTGCCTTCCGTCTCCTCTTTACCCGAGCTCCCCTCTTAACATCCCCCCCTTAGTTAGTTACTTTGTTCCAGCGCCCAGGCTCCTTGCTGTTCCTTAAACATTCGAGGCACCTTAGAAACAGACAGTCCTGCTGTCTCTGCCAGCCCTGTCCCTTCCCCCGTCCGCCCCTCACCCGTCCCACGTCCCACGGCTTTCTCCCCAAACTCCCTCAATCTTCGCTCACATCTCTGTCCCAGGGCTATTTGCTCAGGGAAGCGTCCTTCACCACCCTGTTTAAAAGTTCACCCTCAGGGACTAAGGAGTCCAGATTGGCACTTACAGAAGAGTCACGGGGATGTAAAGTACGGCTTAAAGAATACAGTCACTAGAACTGTAATAACTATACATAGCGTCAGGGGGATACTAGACTTACTGGAAGGATCATGTCGTAAGTTATATAAATGTCTAACTACTATGCTGTATACCCAACACAAATACCATATTGAATGCCAACTTAAATTAAAAATTTAAAAAGTAGAGGTTCACTCTCTTCCTTGCCTTACTTTCTTCCTAGCACGTATCAGCTTCGAACACACTCACTTACTTTATTGTACAATACATCCCCCACATTAGAATGTAAACTCCAAAAGAGCAGGAATTTTTGTCTGTTTTATTCCTTACTGCACGCACAATGCCTCACATAATTGGTAGTCAATAAAAATTAGTTGAAAGAATAAATTCAAGTTATAGTAAACAAATATACATAATTATGTATGTTTATGTACATATAAACATATTTATATATAAATAAACATGTGGAGTTGTACATGAAAGAATTCATAAGAATTTGAGGGGGGACTTTGACTTTCTTCTGTATACACAATCGTTTTGAATTTTTTTGCAATAGGCATTTATTACTTTTAGAAATAAAAATTATGAACTATCCTATACAAATCAGTATTACAAAATATCTTATTAATTTCAACTATAACTTTGTATAAAAATAAGGTGTAAATAAAGAGTTAAACCCCTTCTCCTCTTCGGAGAATTTCACCTTCTTTTAACTTTCCAGCACTGTTTCCCAGGAAACCCGATGGAGACGAAATGTCAGTGAGTTACGAAGTAGCACTGCACATGGTAAAACTGACCAGAAACCAGTCAACTGCACCTACAGGTGAGCCAGGAGAAACTATAAATACCTGATTCCAGAAATCTGACCTTCCCCGAGTACTCTCACTCTTTGAACTTGTCACATCTTTTGTGGAAATCCCAGCAAGGGAAATGGGTTCCTGTGGAACATCGGGCTTCTGAGCCAGACAGACCCCGCACCTGCCCACTGAGAGTCTCCCTTCTTTGCAGCTGAGCTGTCACGGGCACAGGGGGAAACTCGAGCACCAATGGCTCTGTGAACCACTACAAAGACAGCTAAGGACCACTTCCACTAAGAGGGGAACAAGTGCCCTGCCAGCAAGCCAGGTTGTCTGTCTGCTATCCTAAGTGACCTGATGCCAAGCATGGCTTATGGCTTACTCTTGTCTTTCACGGAGCATAAGACGATGGATGACCCCTCAGTGATATCACAGGCTGGTGTCATAAGTGGGTTACACGCTCAGACCCTCAATTCAATTTGGCCAACTCACCATGAGATTAAAAGGGAAGGGGAGAGAAATGCTAACAAGACATCGATGCCTGGGGCGGAGCTGTTCTGTCTACGGTCTCATGGTGAAAGCTGCAGCATGTGACAAGAGATAAAAATGGACCTGAACGTTAGTGGGCCTGGCAGGCATGAGGGGTACAGACCAAAGCAGGCACTGATACCTGATGCAAGAAACGTGAATTAGGCACATAATGGTTACCTAACATATTAGGACCTTGTCTTTGATGTTCTGGTATTTAAATGCTGGTAATCAACCTTGTGAAGTGCTACCCTTCATGAAGAGATGTATTCAAACGCCCTATAAAATTACAAGGCAAATCATGGATCATCTTTCAGGAGAAACAAGAAGGAAAGTTGGTAAGTATCTCCTTACACTCCAATGAATATGTCAAAAATATCAAATTACTAAGCGGTCATAACTACAAAGGAAGAACTATTTTTGACAAGTGCAAGAACAATAAACCCTTCCCTCTCTTTCAGCCAGTTATGCATTGGTAACTATTTAGTTTTCATTAAATTGAAAGTTAAGCTTGCACCTTTATCCAAACCTCAATTCAGTTAAATTTGAGGACTTAGGCTAACATGTATATAATATTTACCTTTGACGTCAACATCTTTTGCATAAAACTCTGTGACCACCTGGAACGCATGGCTGTATTCAAAATACATGTTATCCATCCTTTCTACTCGAATTCTGTCGTCTCGCACACTGAAAGAAAAAAAGTGAAAATTTCAACAATAATTTTCCATAATCTTGAACTGTCTGTATTTAGGCCTTGGCTTAACCAAAAAATATAGTCATTCCTTGTTCTCTCCCAAGTTAAAAAAAAAAAAAATCTCAAGTTTCCCTGTTGAAAAGTTCCATTTCATAAATTACAATTATTACTTTCACAACTGGTATTTTATACCAGCTAGCACACTGTGAGTACTTTACATATATTACCATCAAGAATTCACTGAAATAAAGGTCAATTATTTTAATAAATACAAAAGAGAGAAAAATAGGAAAGCGTCACTGCAATTTAATTGCATCATTTGTTTAAATCCTCCCACAGCAGAATACACACCAGGAATCCTTTCTCTGAAGTCGGGCTGACGTCCACGTCGGGCGAGCGTTTTGCTAACTCCTCTCACACCACAGCCTCCAGTCAAACACAGTCAATTCCCCTTAGTCAGCTCTCACTCTTTATTTAAAGTGGTTCAATCATCTTTTTAAAATTTTACATAAATATAGATAAAATGTGTTTTTTCTCATGTATGAACATACTCATACATGTTATTGTTTCATAAAAATAGGATCACATTTTACAAACTTTTCTGTATCTTGTTTCCTTCACTAAGCAATAACTCTTGGAAATCCCTCCACATAAAGTAACCTAACTACAATTCATTTTTTAATAACTGAAAAATACTTCTTAGTATGTAAAAGACCTAACTTTTACATGCTATTACAACCATTTCTTTATTATTGGATATTCACTTGGTGTTAACATTCTGTCACATGCTGCTTTAAAACATCTAAAAACAAAAATAAAACATTACAGATGTATAACATCCCACTATTAAAGAAAGCATAATGTATAAAGGACATGTAGATGTCCTTTATAAGGACAACGGGGGGAGGTGGAAAGGGGGGAGGGAGGCAGGGAGTGCTTGGGGTGGTGGAGAGGGGTGGGGGGAAAAGGCAGAAAACTGTACTTGAACAACAATTTTTAAAAAAGGAAAAAAAGAAAACATAATTTATCTATTTGTGTCTTGTATATCCAGCAATAATGTTCCATCATTTTCTTCATGTTTTATGTAACTGGTTGTACTCACTCTTAGATATACAGGGGTGGGCAAAAGTAGGTTGATGATAATAAAACAATAATTAACAAATAAGTAATAATATAAGAATAAACCGTTTCATACACTCAGAGCTGTAAACCTGCTTTTTCCCACTCTACTACTGTAACGGAAACTTTTACTTATAGTTACTGAAGTATTACCGTTGGTGTGCATGGGCCTACCAATTGTTATATATAGCAACTTTGCTGAACACTATTTGATTTTTTTGGCACCATTTGTTAAAAACAATTGTTGTCTCTCCTTTACAGTTTCGATTCTTCACTGCTCTGTCCCTCCTCGTTACACTGCTGGTAAGACGTTCAGGGCTGTGCTGGACAAACGTTAAGGCCAACAGGCATCCTCTGTCTTCGCACTGACACTAACTGCAATGCTTCTAAAGTTTCAACTCCTAAATATAATGTTTGCTGCAGGTTTTGGAATGACTTATTAGTCTAAGGTTTGGTAAGCTTCCCAGTTTGGGCAAAAAGTAAAATTTTAGCATAAAGGATTACTGAATCTTACCTAATGCTCTGTCTACATGTGTTAAAATGATGATGTGGTTCCTCTCACTTAATTTCTTAACATACTCTTCATATTTTCTGATGCTGAACAATTCCTGCTTTCCCGGGATATAATACCCTTGTCATGATGCTCCGTGTTGCTCAAATAAAGCTATAAATTGATTTCTTCACTTTTTAATTTTTTCCAGGAACTCTGAGCCAGCATACTAAGCTCCAAAGGCTTTCTCTGTTCTACTACAAAACCGGGCAGACAGGGGCGGATTCTAGAAGATTCCTCAGGGGAGAATTTTTCTCCCACCTGTGGTGCTGAGGAAGAATCTTCCCATCTTAATCCACCGGAGAGACAGTGTCAGCGCAACTACAGCAAATCTCTTATCAATGTTTATCTTCCCATGGACTCCCTTAATACCTGGACTTTACAAAGCCTGCAGCAAAGTTATTATTTAGCAAACCAAAAAGCAATGAATGACCTTACATGTGCTCTACAGTATTTTTGTACAAGTTCCAAGAGTGAACAGAAGAGGCAGCTGGTAACTCAATTACTATTCTAATTAACGTTTTGTTTGATAAGCAGATAAGGATTTAGAAACCCATTAAATAAAAATGGATTTGTCAGTTATCCTTGAGGCTTTCATGGAAGTATTACAATAGTGTTAAATTCATCATTCTGCAATTTGTACATTGAACACCCTCATGCAAAATTTTTTTCACAGACCAGTTGTAGTTGAAATCTCACATCTGTGTTTTCCTGGATTTCTTAAATTTAGGAAAGTTGAAACACTTGTATGCATAATGAGTCATATCCAACCAGAATTTTGTCAAACTAGATTTTAGTAAATTTCTACATTAAACACAGACTGGCCATGACTTCCTGCCAAGATGGAAGTGTAGGTAGATACACTGCACCTCCTCGCACAACCAAAAGAATGACAACAACAAATTTAAAAACAAAATGTAAACACAACTACCAGAAAATCGAACTGTATGGAAGTCTGACAACCAAACACTCATCCAGGCCGATAGGAAGGGCAGCAATGGGCAGCCGGGCTGGAGAGGATGCACAGCAAGGCAGCTGCTGGAGGACCAGGGGTTCCACACTTGCATGCGGACAAACTGGGAGGAACACCTGGGCAGCTGGGGAGCCAGACAGACCATGCAACCCAGGGTTCCAGCACAGGAAAAGAAAGCCTCAAACCTCTGGCTATAAAAACCTGTGGGGGCTGTGAAGGTAAGAGAAACTCCCAGCCTTACAGGAAAGTTGGTTGGAGAGACCCACAGGGTCCTAGAACATCCACAAACCCACCCACCCAGGAAGAAGCACCAAAAGGGCCCAATCTGCTTGTGGGTAGCAAGAGAAGTGACTGGAAGCCAGCAGAGACCTAAGCCCACAGCAGTGTTCCCTCTCAGACCCCTCCCCCACAGACAGTGCCTCAGTGCAGCAACATGGGTTGCCCTACCCCAGCAAATACCTAAGGCTCCACCCTTACTACCTACAAGGCATGCTGAGACAAAGAAATATGGCCCAAATGAAAGAAAATATTAAAACTCCAAAAATAGAACTAAGCAATGAAGAGATAGCCAACCTATCAGATGCAGACTTCAAAACAGTGGTAATCAGAATGCTCACAGAAATGGTCAAGTATGGTCACAAAACACAAGAAAAAGTGAAGGCTATGCAAAGTGAAATAAAGAAAAATATATTGGGAACCAAGAGTGAAGGGAAGGAAACTGAGACTCAGATCAACAATTTGAAGCAGAAGGAAGACATAAAAATTCAATCAGAACAGAATGAAGAAACAAGAATTCAAAAAAATGAGGAGAGGCTTAGGAACCTCCAGGACAACTTTAAACATTCCTACATCTGAATCATAGGGGTGCCAGAAGGAGAAGAACAACAGCAAGAAGTTGAAAACTTATTTGAAAACATGAAGAATTTCCCCAATGTGAAAAAGAAAATAGACTTCCAGGAAGTCCAGGAAGCTCAGAGAGTCCCAAAAAACTTGGACCCAAGGAAGCACACACCAAGGTACATCCTAATTACATTACCCAAAATAAGAGGTAAGGAGAGAAGTCTTAAAAGCAGCAAAAGGAGAGTTATCTACAGAGGAGTTCCCCTAAGACGATCAGCTGATTTCTGAAAAGAAACCTTGCAGGCAAGAAGGGGCTGGAAAGAAGTATTCAAAGTCATGAAAGGCAAGGACCTACATCCAAGATTGCTCTATCCAACAAAGTTATCCTTTAGAATGGAAGGGCAAACAAAGTGCTTCCCAGATAAGGTCAAGTTAAGGGAGTTCATCATCACCAAGCCCTTTTTATATGAAATGTTAAAGGGACTTTCTAAGAAAAAGAAGATGATCAAAATGATGAACAGTAAAATGACAACAAAGTCACAAGTATTAACAAATGAACTAAAAATAAAAACAAAAACTATGCAAACAACTAGAACAGGAACAGATTCACAGAAATGGAGATCATGGGGAGAGTTAATAGTGGGGAGAAGAAGAAGGGAGAATGGGGTAAAAAGTATAGGGAATAAGAAGCATAATAGTAGGCAAAAAATAGACAGGGTGAGGTTAAGAATACTACAGGAAATGGAGAAGCCAAAGAACTTATATGTAAAACCCATGGACACGTACTAAGCTGGGCAATACTGGAGGAGGAGGGGATACAGGGAGGAGGGGAATAAAGAGGAGGAAAAAACTGGGACAACTGTAACAGCATAATCAATAAAATATACTTAAAAATTAAAAAGCAAAAGTCAATTACAAAAAAAATACAACACAGATCTGCTCACTTGATTTCTTCAAACTGGCGTCTACAGAATACCCACATCAGAATCACATGCAACACGCAATAGGAGCACAGATCCCACACTGCAAATGTGTTCAATCTGGACTCAGCAGGAAGCTAGGGGCCAGCAGGGGTGGCTCACAGGGGAACTGCAGACTGAAAACGCTAGTCTACATCAACAACACTGGCAGCCACCCGAGGACAGAATACAAAGTAGAAATGTAAATCCCATCTACCGATAGTGTATGTTTTGGCTGCTCTATTAGAGAAGAGCAGTAAATATGTTTTCACCAAAAAAAAATTTTAAGTCCTCTATGGAGTTACTCAAGTATACTTGACCTGGGTCTGCGATATTATGGACGGAAACCCCTTCCGCTTCCCACCCTCTACAGAGGCTGTCTGCTCCTCCCTGCGCCATGGCGGCGACCCCCTTCTGGGGGGGACTAACATCAGGATGTGAGTCTCAGTCATTACATGAAATATGCCAAGCCAGAGTGTTTTACAATAAGATTTCTAATTTTTAAAAATTCTTTTTATATGTAACATGCCTCTCTGTTGCCAAATGTATTGT